CCATTTTCAAGACAAGAAACACTTCACCAGCTTCACAGCATCTATTTTTACCTCTAAATAACCTTTAGATCAATTTTTGATAGCTAATTTCTACCAAAAGCACTGAAAAAGCGCTGAAAAAACGCGGCAACAACTCTTTTATGGCATTGGTGTTGTTCTTGACGAAATTCAAGCAAAAAGCCTCCATTCATAAGGCAAAATTTCCATTTCACACTTCAATTTCCATCGTGTTTTTTTTTGATTTCGAATTTTTCCGAACTTTCAAATGAACTAATGCTTCAATCAGAAAAGCCGAATTTGCACAAAATTTGCAAAACTAATCCGACCGGAAACCGACCTGAAAAGCGTCAGAGATTCCCCACCAATCCACAAATACAAATGTAATCTCTCTTTTCTGCAAATTTCTGCAATCTCTGACCAAAAAAAAGAAATTCAAGTTTGTTTTAAATAAAAACTAAAAAATAAATTTAAACAAAAACAAATTTCAGAAAAAAAAAAAAAAAAAACCTTTGCTCATCTTTTTATTAGTTTTTAAATAACAAATGTTTTGTTTTGAAAATCAAAGATTGTAGCAGAGACAACAGAGAGAAATCAGAGATAACAGAGAGAAATCAGAGACAACAGAGAGAAATCAGAGACAACAGAGAAAATGAAACTACATTTTTGAAGTTAAGTGGGTGTTTTTTTTATCGCCAATTGAATATCGCCAAAGAAAAGAGATTTCCATAGAAAAGTGAACTGTTCTCCAAAAATTGGCATTCAATTTACCCTATGACAAGAAGTTCTTGAGATTTCTTGAGATTTCCCGTGGATTCTCTCCACCCATCACTTTTTCGCTCCTCAAATTTCCCTAAAATCAAAGATTGTATCAGAGACAACAGAGAGAAATCAAAGAAAATCAAATCAAAAAATGAAACTAAATTTTTGAAGTTAAGTGGGTGGTTTTTTTTTTTTTCTTGGAACTACAAAATTTTAAAACGAATTTTTAAATTAGAAATTGGTTTTTGCAGTGACATTTTGTATGGTAAATTGAGTAGATTAGATAGATAAATTGGGTAGATTTTTTTGTGAAAGTATTGTAGCAATTATATGCGGTTATGATTATCTGATTCGCTTCTATTCGCCCTCCTGAATAAAGCATATATATATATTAGATAGATAAATTGGGTAGGTAAATTGGGTTGTAGGGTAAAGCAAAAACCAAGAAAACGCTTAAAAATCGAGGAATCGAGTGCACTAGAAAGATTGCGTTTAACCGGTTTAACGTACACTAAGAAGTGAATGCTAAAAGTTAATGTTGTGCACTAGACAGGGCGTGTTTCGAGAGCACAAAACTTGAAGATGAGTTCACGTAAATGTACCTAAGCGTCAATGTAATTAGAAATGATTAGGAAAGGAATTTCAGTGCACTGGAAAGGTTGCGTTTACAAATCTAGGTACAAAGTACACTGTAAAATCGAATTTTTCTTAATCTCAGCTGTTTCTTTTTCGTTGTTTCAAGCACAAAAAGGGCAAATGCTTTCCTCTTTTCAAAAGAGAATGTAAGGAAGAGAATGTTAGCTGTTTTTCTTTTCTTTTCTTTTCTTTTCTTTTCTTTTCTTTTCTTTTCTTTTCTTTTTCTCTTTTCAAAAGAGAATCGAAGCTTTTTTTACTTTTTCTCCTCTTTTCTTTTCTTCTCTTTTCTTTTTCTCTTTCTAAAATAGGTTCTTTGAGCTCACTAATCATTCTTTGAACTCACTAATCTTTCAGAAAATGAATGATATCACTGGTAGCAATTTTTAGCAATCATAAATCCTATTTAATAAAAAATCTTCTCAAAAACGGATTCATCAAAAAAAAAAATTTTTTTGGAGAGATTAAACTACAAAAGAAATTCTTTTCAAAAAAAAGTAAATGCTTTGTCCAATGCATTTACTGTAAATGCTTTGTCCAATGCTTTGTCCAATGCTTTTTCCAATGCTTTGTCCAATGCTTTGTCCAATGCTTTGTCCAATGCTTTGTCCAATGCTTTGTCTAATGCATTTGCATAAGCAATCAAACATTTTTGAGCATTTTTGAGCGTTTTTGATAAAACAATTTGTGATTTTATCCTTTCCCCGTTTACTTTTTTTTGCATTAGAATCAATTAGAAAAGAACCAAAACCGAAATGCAATGCGATTAGAGTTCGATTAGAAACAACAAAACCCTACTATGATAATTTCTCCCGCAAATTATCCTTTTTAAAAAAAACCCTCACTACTCAAGCTATAGCTAATTTCCCGGGAAAAGGAAACTTTCCTTTATGTGCCATCGAGAGATTGATCATTGACCTAATCGATCACTCTCTGAAAGCCCAAATTTTTGTCAGTTTCCCCCTGTTTTCTCTTTATTTCAAGATGTGGGTGGATATCAACCTAAAAGAAAAAAAGAAAATCTCTCAAAACAGCTTAAAAGTGTAGTTTTTTGTTACCACCCCCACTCACTTTGTTGATCGAGTGAAATTCCAGAGATTCTTTCAATTCCTCACATTTTTTTGAGATAATTTCTTATCAAAACTTCCCGGCACTATACAAATCTATTTCCGGGAAAGTTTTCATGGAAATTATCTTTTGTGGATTCTTCTGCTTCTGCTTCTGCTTCTGCTTCTGCTGCTTCTGCTTTTGCTGCTTCTGCTTCTTCTGCTTCTGGTTCTTCTGCTTCTGCTGCTTCTGCTTTTGCTTCTTCTGCTTCTGCTGCTTCTGCTTCTTCTGCTTCTGCTGCTTCTGCTTCTTCTGCTTCTGCTGCTTCTGCTGCTTCTGCTTCTGCTTCTGCAATCACAGGCTGGACTCTGGGGGTGAGGGAAGCCGTATTTTTCTTAAATTTTTTCTTTATCTGAGTTTATTTGGGGATTAAAATCCAAAAATTTCTAGAAAGACGATCAGAAAGTGACGAGATTTTCATTTACAGATTACAGAATTTCCATTTTTTTTTTCGAGAAGCAATTCCGTAATTGAATTAAACAAATTTCCATAACAAATGAAGAATAGAAGGGATTTGTTTACATCTATTGTGCACACCGTAAACGCTTACCATTTGGTCAACCATCGAGAGCTTAAATGAGACTTTGATATGCAAAAAAGAATTGCATAGAATTCGATGGGGATTCGTTTATCTAACAAGTTAAGTTCTCAGCTTAAAGTAAATGAGAAGAAAAAGGAATTTGTATCCGGTTGATGGGATCTTCAGTAAAGGTGAAGAGAAGAGAAGAGGGGAAATTCCAGGGACGTAACTCGACTCGTTTCGGAAACCTAGTTTTTCCCCCTCTTTGTTTTTCTGCAGCCAATATTATTGAGCTCAAAATACACGGAGAAAGAAGAAAGAAGAAAGAAAAGAAAAAAGCCGAAAAGCTGCACGCGGTTGTTCGAAAAATTCCCCTCATGTACTTGCACATAGACATAAATTTTTGAGATTCTTTAGGATCAAATGACTCTTTCGATGACGATCATGCGTTCCAGTTGAACAAGAAGATTGGGAATTTTGGGAAATGACGAAAACTATGGGATTCCGGTGCAAAGATGAGACTTGGAAACGAGCTTCTGCAACATCTTTGACTTCACTACGACTAACGACTTCACATAGAAGGACTTCACATAGAAGGACTTCCCATAGAAGGACTTCACATAGAAGGACTTCACACTGGATGGACTTCACATAGATGGACTTCACACTGGATGGACTTCACATCGACTAACGACATCACATAGATGGACTTCACATCGACTAACTCAAGATTATCAAATTGAATATCGCCAAAGAAAAGAGATTTCCATAGAAAAGTGAACTGTTCTCCAAAAATTGGCATTCAATTTACCCTATGACAATAAGTTCTTGAGATTTCCCGTGGACTCTCCCCACCCATCACTTTTTCGTTCCTCAAATTTCCCTAAAATTAGGCGTGGCTGGGTGTGGTTTTAAAGGAGAAATTGTTAAATGGAAATTTTTTTTGAGGAGTTCCACTCTTTCCCCTTTTTTCTGCCGATTTTGAGGTCAATTTTAATGTGATTATCGGCCTTGTTGCCTGGATTTTGAAGGCTCGACAAACTGAATGAGTGAATGCTTTTTGTGTGACGAAAAAGTGTGATTTGAGATAAAGAACTTTGGAGTACTGTAGCTTCTTGAACTAGATAAAGAACTAGATAAAGAACTAGATAAAGAACTATGGAGTACTGTAGCTTCTTGAATTAGAGTTCAGATTACAGTAGTAGTAGTAGTACGGCTGAATAGTACTAGAATCTGGTCGACTTTTAGGCTACGGTAAAAGTACGGTACAAGTACAAGTACGGTGCAAATTTCTCGCGACATTTTGAGCGTAAAGTCGCGTAGTGGTTAACGGTTTTTCTGTGGATCATGAATTTAGCTAGCATTTGAATCTTTGAGTATTGTAGACAAAGAGATTCTCTTCAGAGTATGATAGTTTTTGAGAGACTTTAAGAAAAGTGTGCTATAACTTTTTGTTTTTTGATATCTTCAGTTGTTTATGATAGCTTTTCCAAGCATATTTCCTTTATATAATGAATTTTTTTGAGTTTAGATGTAGAAAAATCGATTACTGTAGTTTTAAACTTAAAACTTTAAGTGGAAACTCATAGCTTTTCGCACCTCATAGCTTTCATTCCTTTGTTTTTCAAAACAACAACTCCTCGAATCTTTATTCAATCCGTGAAGCTACCGTAATCCCTAAAGATATTCAGTTATCTTTTTTGGGGAAACTCATGAGAAAGGCGGGGAAAAATGGGAGGAGCTTCTTTGAGAGAGAACAGAGAGAGAGCTTGGGTGGGGCGGCCCCTCCCTGGTATAAAACCCTTTCCCCAAGCCTCAACACTCCCAGAAAAGTCTCTTCTTCTTCTTCTGATCACTCACTTTGCTGCCCACCTAGCCAGCAAAGCTCACAAACCCTGCCTTCACATTTCCACCTCTATGGCTACATGTCTTCCCCCATGGAGGTACGGCCTCGACGACTGTGCCGACCTCTATTAACTCACTCATCACCCGATGTGAGCTCCAGGATGACTGAATCTTCGCTCAGAATCCTTGTACCCTTAGACAACTCACCGAAAATCGCGCAAAGTCCTTTTTGCTGTGGACTGACCGCGCGCTTCTGGCCGACCCGCCACGATCGGTGCCGTGCATTCGCCGCTGTGACATCCAGCTTCCCGGAATCGGTCAAGATTTTCGACAAAATTCTCATCGCCTAGCCGCAATTCTCTCTAAAATGATACGGGCCTCATCGTCACTTCTCTGCAATGGCAATTTATTTATTTCCTTTCACGCTTTACCGTAGTTCAACGCTTTTTCTTTGTTTTTCCTCAACCTGCCTGAATATTTTTGCGTTTTATTTTTCATCTCAAAAGTTTCGTCTCATTTTTTTTTTCTGATCTCATTTTTGTGCCAAAGCTTTATTTTTTTTACTTAAAAAAAAACGGTCAAATTGTTTAAAAAATTTCTTTTTTTTGACTGATTGAATCGATTGTTATCGTTTTTTTAAAGAAATTTTTGCATAATAATAAATGATTTATTAAAGTTTCGTCTTGAACAAAAAAAAAAATGAAATGCAAAAACGAAAAAAGCTAAAAATGCAAACAAGGTTTTCAGACAAATTTAAGACACAAATTGAGAGATTAAATGCAAATTAAAGAGAAAATTGAGAGATTAAATGCAAATTGCTGGGGAAATTAAATGTAGATTCGGAATTAAATGCAAATTTTGAAAGATCTTGTCGTAAAGGGAAATCTTTGGGTTTTTTTGCGAAAATCCGAAAAAATGTTCGCTTTTAGGATTTCATTCGCATTCATTCATTTCATTTTGGGATTTCAATCGATTTTCCGGGTTTTTTGTGAGCGATTTGTGAAAAAAAAAGCGGTAAAATTGAGTTTTTAAGGGAAAAAATGCAAGTCTTTAAAAGTTTTTGAAGCTTTAAACTTAAGAAATTGTAAAAATAAATGAAAAGCCACAACTTTCAAGTTCAATTGTTGAATAGAAATCAAAATTTTGCATTTTTTGAATTCGATCTCTGTTTGGTTCATTGACCGTTTGAAATCGTTTGAAGCGGCAAGCAAGCTCACGCCTCCCGACCCACCCGCCTCCACATCATCTTTCACCTCTCGCCACACATCATCACCTCTCATCATCGCCTCCCGATCAGCCTTCCTTTCATCATCTTCCTTTTCCAATCACTCACAAGTTTGACTAGAAAAAAAACAATGAAAGATGTCTAAATTTAGATAAAATTTGCGAAACTCGCCCACACTTCTCTCTAAAATGATACGAGCCTCATCGTCACTTCTCTGCAATGGCAATTTATTTATTTCCTTTCACGCTTCACCGTAGTTCAACACTTCCTCAACCTAGCGCCTTCCGATTCCAGCCTCGAGATCTTTCTTTTGGTCACACTAAATATCTCAACATAACACCTTCCGATTCCAGCCTCGAGATCTCTCTTTTCTTTCTTTTGAAATCACTCACAAGTTTAGACTGGCAACAAAACAATGACAAATGTCTAAATTTAGCTAAAATTAGCCAAATTCACCCACACAAGTTTAAGATACAAATCATATGCACTATTTTTTTTGTTTCATCAAATCAAAAAAAAATGGGAATTTGCTGAAAATGATAGCCTCATAACGGGAGAAAACGGGAAAGTTTGTTGGTGATGACGTATGTGAAATCGGCGCACAAAGGGAAACTCCAACACTCCTTTTCCACTCCTTTTTCTTCTCAATTTTCTTTCACCTTCATTAGAGACTTTTACGGAAAATACAAGAAACAAATTGATCAAACGCGATTTTTTTTTTTTGCATTAAAAAGTTGGCCTTTTTTGTTGTTGATCAACGGCTCACTTTTCATTGAGAATTTTTCCCCGTTAACAATCAGATTCGACTCTGGATTATGAAAATTTGCATGGGAATTTAAATTCAGTGAGATCTTGATTTACTCTTTGACTCTTCCACGATCCTCACCCTGGACTTGCCGGGATATTGTGATCGAGCTTTACTGCTTTATTTGCCTATTTGCTCGCTTTGACTACTGCTGGCTTGACTCCAAAATCTTGCTCAAAAAAAACCAAAAACTATCCTGACCCTAACCTGACACTGTTCCAGTTTTGAGCAGGCTAGAGTACTGTCATAGAGCTTCCTGTTAGCTTAGTCTGGTCTCCAAAAATTCAGATCTGACCCTGGCATTCAGTACTGAATGCCAGGGTCAGATGTATAGAGCTTCTTGCTCGAGATTAGTCACCCGGGATCGAGGCAACGTCCGGCAACACAAACTATCCGAACTAACCCAAAAGCCAGATCATATAAAAAGGCTCAAGAAAGTGAACGAGCTTTTCCGATCTGTTGAGCTCAATTGAGTGGATGCGAAAAGTTTTGCGACTCACCAAAAAGCGTCGAAAAATGAATGGATTTCTTTGCCCGATTGTCCAAAAATAGGAAAATCTTTCACTTTGCATCATTGTCAAATAAATATTTCGTCAAAAGAAAGACAATTTTCCCATCATGATTTTCGAAGATCAATCCCTAAACGAAGAGACGAAGAGAAGATTTTTCGCTGAAAAAGCGCTCTTTGGCTCTCTATTTTTAGTTTCTCTATTTTTGAGTTCTATTTTTAGCTGTGTGGAGGGGGAAATTTGTGTATTTATTTCAAAGAGACAAAACCTTTTCACTCAAATAAACAACCATGTGATGGTTTTGTTGGAAAACTTTGAACTTGTTCTTTTTGGCCTTTGAATAAGTTGACACCAACTGGTGCAACTAGTTAGCCTCTTGCTGTACAGGCATCAGGCTTGAACGCAGAGCTTGAGTCTGATCGTTAGCCCCTTTAAAGCACAAGACTACGATAAGAGAAGTACTGTAGTACTGTAGTACTGTAGCTATGTGTCGTTCTCTAATCCGTTTCCTTTCATCTTTTCTCTATCGTAATCGTGTCTCGATTTTAATCTAAACTACCGTAAATACTGTAATAGTACCCCACCGCCCTCGTACAGTCACGTAGTCGCAAAAGTTTTTTAGTATTTCATTTTTTTCAAAGCGCCCGTACTTTCAAAAAATGCGTTTTTGGCATCAAAAAATAGCCCTGAATTTCAGCTATTTTTTGATACCTAAACGCACCTTGTAGCATAAACCAGTGTCGAGAAACACTCGTCCAAAGCTAGACTACGCAACACTCCGCACCGTCATTATGGGGGTGGGGTACTATTACAGTATTTACGGTATCTACTTTTTCTATTTTTCTGTTATCTACCAGGAAGTTGTGCTAATCAAGGAATCCCCACCAGAGGTTCTTTCCTCGATCAACTCCTAGATCTCCTAGATCTCCTAGCTCTCCTAGATCAACTCCTAGATCTCCTAGATCTCCTAGATCTCCTAGATCTCCTAGATCTCCTAGATCAACTCCTACGTCAGGTAAACAAACTCATAGATTTTATGTGGATTTTGTGGTTTTTTGATAAACAGATCAACAGAATCATCACAATTTCCCATTTCCTCATCGACTATTTTGGGATCAAAATCAGCAAAATTAATCACCAAAAAATCAACACGATCAATGGGGTGATTTTTTTTAAAAAAAACGGGAGAAAGCTCTCAAGAAATAGAGGAAGAAAAATCGAAATTTGAGAAGAATCTTTTTCCTTTTTCTTTTCTTTTTCTTTTCTCTTTTTTTTGTCGAACTCTATCAGTGATTCACTTAGCCTTTTCCGCATTCCAATGCTAATTATTGGCAGGGACAATGAATGGAAAAGAAAGGGAACAAAAAGAGGGGAAGATGGGCAAGATGGAGTGCTTTCATTTGCACAACTTTGTAGATACGCTCGAGTACAAATTTCGTGGTGTTTCTTGAAAGGTGAGGGGTTCTTTATGTCGAAAAAGTACGGTATTTTGTAGTACTAAACTAAAAGTACGGTATTTTGTAGTACTTTTGTAGTTCTCCTTTTCACCGTAATCTTATCTCTATTTTTATTCAATTAATCAATTCGATTCGATAAAAGAATGAGATAAAAAGTCGATTGATTAGATAAAAGACAAGATTACGGTAGGATGGGGGAAATTGGTCACGTTTTAAGCAAAAGGATTTAAAGAGTAGCATTATTTGCGTTCTATAAGTGTTTATAAGCTTTACACTGGCATCAATCTTAAAGCTTTTCATCGTAATCTTATCTCTGTTTTTATTCAATTAATCAATTCGATTTTAAGGCTTTAAACAAACAAGAAATGAAATGAAAAGAGAAAAATTAAAAGCAAATTCGAATTCAGCGTCACCGATTCTATAAGATTGGGTTTTATTTCATTCTGAAAGACTATGACAAGTGCTTGCCTTTAGTCTAGCTTTTGGTAGAGCTAGTTTGTCTAGCTTTTGGTAGAGTTAGTTAGTCTAGCTTTAGGTAGAGCTAGTTAGTCTAGCTTTTGGTAGAGCTAGTTTGTCTAGCTTAGGTAGAGTTAGTTAGTCCTAGTTAGTCTAGCTTTAGGTAGAGCTAAGCCAGAAGAAGAAAGCCTTAGCTAGGCTTCGTTTCAGCTACAGTAATCTCACGAGTTCTCAACCATTTAGAGTACCTAGTTCTAGTTGTTCTAGTTGTTTCCTCATTGCGTGAATATTCCCAAAAAACGCAAATCATCGAAAGAATGCGGATTGAACTGAAAGTACATGTTTTCCTATGCATTGTTTATCATTGATGGAATGGAATGGAATGTCACAAGGAGAAACCCAAACGTCAAATACAATTCTTCCCCAATTAGGGTTTTTTTTCTTTTTCATTCGGCTTTTCTCTTTTTGATTTATGCGATAAAACAAGGGGGGAAATATTGCTGCAATTAGGGAGGAAAAACGAGAGAAGACTCGATCCACATTCACAAGAACATCACTGAGAACTCAAGACATTTCATCGTTGAGTTGAGTTGAGTTCATCGATTTGTTTAGGGGAATTTTTTTGATTTTACCATACTTTAAAGGTAGGGTAAAGTAAGTTCTTAGATTTTGTACTTAGATTTTGTCCTTAGATTTTGATTTCCGTTTATCATAATCGTCAAATCCGCATTTATTCACGAGATTTGAGGAGATAACGGAAAGCTCTATAGAACGGAAAGCTTCAGATAATGAAAAGCTTTATATAATGGAAAGCTTTATATAATGAAAAGCTTCAGATAATGAAAAGCTTTATATAACGAAAACATCTTTGGTCCCTTGCATTTCGTTATA